ATGACGCGCTAACCAACTGAGCCATACTGGCCAGGGCAGTCCCACCCACTTCTAAGGGTTGATTTCATCTAGTTTATGCATATTGGCTCCACCTTACATCTGTTTGATGGAAGCCAGTACCTTCAAGTTATCCATTTACCTACTGTACTGCGTGTGCCTTTGTTTGGCGTTAGCTGTCAACACTTTGCACATATGAAATCAATCTGTGTGACATTAATGTAAACATTGTGCATTACAAACTGGTGGACATTTCATTGTTCTAACAGGAAAAATAGACAATATGTTTGCATGCATGTGTTTTCCCTACAGCAAAGACAATAACACAATATAAATGGCAATATGTGTTTTACAAAAGAGGAAATGAATTATATAAAAGAGGTAAAAGCAAGGGGGAGGGCTGTGGGAGAATGCCTCATGTTAGGTGATTCTAACAGGGCAGTGGGGGCAGGAATTATGCACAGGGTAAAGATTTTTATGAGAAAAATTGTCATTTAAAATGTCACTTCCCCCAAATGTTATTATAATCTCATTTCCTAATTGCATGAGCAATACCACCAGTTTTCACAGTGCTTTAATAAGGAGTCCAGTTGCTTTAATTTTAAATATAGTCAATTTCCTTGTGCTGAGAAAAGCGCACACTGCCTTTAAGAGCAGGGTGACTGACAAGACGGAAGAATGCGGGCAGGATGTGGAGGCTGAAGCCTTTCAATCACCTACCATTAATATGATTCAATTTATGCTTATGTCATAGGTTTAGACACTGCACAGTGCTGTAAGCAAGGGAAGGACTTGAATAAAACAGTGAAGAAAGCAGATGGTATGCTATCAAAACCCTTCAAGCCTAAAATAACCTTTTCCAAGTAAGAAGGATAGTTAATTAAAACCAGGATATATTTACTCTGTTCGGAATATCTCAATGTAAATAAAAATCAAAACGACACTACTGTAATGTGAGACTAAATGATGAAATTCCATCTACATTATTTTTCTTTAATAGTTTCTAATCAAACTTTTCATTAAACAGCTTCATAAAATTCCACAGAGAATTTATTTATAGGGACTCATGATAGATTTCAATGCCTTGCTTTTATTGATCAATTAAACTTGTTTATTCAGTGGACAACATTGAAAGGACAGGGGAGGGGGTTGGTGTCTGGGAAGTTGGGCAAGGTTGTCACACACACAGCGAAGCCTATTTTTCAGAGATGAACCCCAGGGCATGCAAGGAAGCCCTAGAGCACGTGGAGAAAAAGTGGGGCTTCCCGGCCCAAGAAGGGACATTCAGGTCTAGTTCCAAAGCCACCGCTTAGGCTCATCCCAGCCCTGGTCCACAGACTCAGGTTCGTGTCTCCCTGGTCCACACACAGACTCAGGTTTGTGTCTCCCTGGTCCACAGACTCAGGTTCGTGTCTCCCTGGTAGAGAGAGCATCCGGCCATTTAAAAACCCACTGAGGGTGATAACTAAGGGCAAAGAAACCTAAGAGAGGCCAACAATTGACCAGGGTGAAGGCAGCAATTCCTCACATGGAGAGTCAGGACATGAATTTCATTTTATTAATTAGGTAAGTAACTAATTAATTACTTTTTGCCGATTTTAGAGAAAGAAGGAGAAAGAGAGAAACACTGAGGTGAGAGAGAAACATTGATTGGCTGCTTCCCTGCACCAGAGATCAGGGCGGAAACCTGGACATGTGCCCTGACGGGGAATCAAACTGGCAACCTTTTGGTGCGTGGGATGATGCTCAACCAATTGCGCCACCTGGGCCAGGGCAGGACATGCATTTTAAATGATCTAGATATTTCTAAAAGGTTTCCAATAACCTCTTTGCTTATCCTCTAAAACCAGATCCAGTCCTGCCTTTTCCTTGCGGCTTCCCTCTCTCCACGGTCAGGATCTCCAATCACTTCACCCCTCCCACCCCCAACGCACTATGAAATTCCTCCTGCACTTGCTTTCTGTAACACTCACCAAATCCTTAATCACTGACTTTCTTGTAACATTAGTTAACTTTCAGGTGCGTTACTCCTGTCTTCCCCAATTAGATTTTAAATCCTCAAAACTAGCAGGGACTGTGCTTTATTTACCTTTTGAACACCCCTCCCAGCTCTACTCCATAATCCCATTTAATAGAAGAAAGCAAGAAATACATTAGTTAATAAAATAAACATTATTTAATCATAGGAAAGTAGACACTGTCCTTTTGAGAAGGGCCTCGGAGGTATTTTATGACAATTTATGAATTTCATGTGTCAAAGGTGTAGCTGCTAAATGCTATAAACCCTTTGCCATCAGCTCCACCATTCATCCACCTGGTGATATGGCTAATAAAATTTGATTTTTACAGCCGGGGCATACTGTTACCTAAATTACATCTGACCAATTACTGAAGTCACCGAGCGTGTGGTACAGAATATATACTGTGTGGAAATTCATCTGTGGGCCCCCTGGCACTCGCGGTAATCTGACAGCAGTGTTTCAGTCATCTGGCAGTGTTTAATATTAGGAACATTTGTTTAATGCTAGTCACTAATTAAATTTATGTTCTTCCACCAACTGTTACTTGGTTGGAGAAACTCAACCCCACGTTTTAACAAACCCTTTAACTCATGTTGATTTCTAATACAACCAGTTGGAGGTTTAAATGTGTGTTCTCTGGAAATTTAGGGTGTGAGCAAAAGTGGAAGGTGGGGGAGGTATCCTGGTGAAGGTGTTCAAATCAGGACAAAATAAGCTTTTGGGGTTCACTTACTAAAATGCAATACTCTAAGAACAAACTATTTGAAGTATAAATGTAACTAAAAAAAATCTAGTATTCTAATGATTCAACTAGCCATCTAGAAGCTCTTTAAAGGCAACTTTATTCCAAAAGAAAGCTTCCACTTTAAGAGTCTGGAGAAGAGAAAGAGCATTAAAATTAGCTATACTGGAGGAAAGTCCAGGAAAACATTCAAGTCAGATGCTTGTGTCTGTGAGAACATTTAAAACCAATTTAGTAACTTAACTATTGTGATCACTGTTAAACTGGAATTTCTTTCTATTACCAGTTCTAGATGCGAAAGCTTTGAAACTCAATGACTAATAATTCCTAAATTAGCTCAAAAGGCTGAAACATTTTTTTCATTATATTACATGGTGAAACTCTAATTTTGAGTACTCTTAAGGGCGGGAAAGCATTCTTTGAGTTTTATTTTGTGTCAGGAATTTATAGACCTCTTTAGGGCCAAGCAGGATGGAGGGCATGGAAGAAGAAAAACTCAAGATGGAAGTATTGAAAAGAGAAGATTTGTAAATGCTGATCTGAAAAGAGAGGGTATTTTAAAAAATGTATTGGATACATTCATCCAGCTGAATATACAGGTTTTTTGAATATTAAAAATATAACAATAGCTCTGGCTGGGTAGCTCCGTTGGGTAGAGCATCATCGCCATACATCAAGCTTGTGGATTCGATCTCAGATCAGGGCACATGCAAGAATCAACCAACGAGTGCATAAATGAGTGGAACAACAAATCAATGTTTCTCTCTCTCAAATCAATCAATTAAAATTTTTTTAAATATGACAATAAATTCTTCTTGGGAGAAGGAAAATATAACTTGTATAAACACTATGACTCTCTTACATACTGACTGACAGCCATTTGACAAACCAGAGATGTGAATGGCATCTAAAAAAACAGTCTGTAAATAAATGTCATGTCCAATTAACTTAGGTCCCGTTCCTCTCTTTCTTCCCTTCCTTCTTGGGTCATCATATCCCATCCCCTCATCCACACCCTTCCTCTGCTAGACACCTCCTTCAATATCCCTACCACAGAAACCACAGGGCTGCTGAAGTCATGAATAATCAGATTGGAGAGGCCAGAGTGGATTTCGATTTCCAAAGCCATGCCAAGGCATGTAATGGTTAAGCAGAATACTCTGAATCTGAATAATCTGCAAACCAGGGATCCTTGAAAAAATGTTAGCCAATAGAACCAAGGAATGTTCCAGCTCAAGGGACCACATGCGCTCTGTAGGCCAGAGTCTCAACTTCTTTGCAACCCAGGTTCCCATGAGGGTAGTCATCATACTGGTCACTCAATGGTGGCAGTTCCCAGGGGAGGGAGACGGTGAGGCTGGGGTTGTTCACGTCTCAATAACTATAGCAATTCTCAGGGAACATGTGTATTTTGATAAAGTGCCCCCAGGGTATTCTAATATCCCTGCCCACTGAGAAGCACTGATATGATCCAATCTCTTCAACAAACAGATGAGAAAGATGTGAGAGATGAGATCTTGGCTTGCCTCCAGTCATGCAAGGTCTTCCAAACGGATGATACATCTTTTCCTCCTTCCCTTCTATGTACAGAGATAAATGACCAATCAGCTGGGCAGAGGTGCAGATAAAGATATGTGTGCATATATCCATCTTTGGTGAGCACAGTATATAAAGATATATGGATATATACAGATATAGACCTATTTCTTCATATACTGTGCCCACCAAAGATGAATATTTATGTAAATATACATACATATATATGAAAAAAAATCTAGGGGTATGGGGATCTGTTATCTATCTATCTACCTATTCACCTTCTAGTATGAAAATGGTTACAATTGGTGCATTTTCACAGTTCCTTATAACACTGAAAAGTGAGTATCAGTTAAATAAAAAAAAAACCCCACAAAAAACAGTATCTGAATAGTCAGAGCCTTTTAAGAAAAAACTAACATGAAAGCTTCCTGTCCTAAAGTCCAATTTCAAGGTCGACCAAGCAACTTCAGACTCTATATTGAACAACAAATTCTAAATAATAATCTTTTACCCTAGTAAACAGAGGCTGCCAAGGAAGGCAGTGATGCCTTATGCCGCAATAATTTGGGGGATGGGAGGGGGAGGGTGGCACATTAGGCCTGTGAAAATAAACCCTGTTCCCCATCACTGCTCTTCACAAGAACTGAAATCAAGTAGACACGCACGCACAAGTTTCATGTAGGAAAAAAAAAAAGACTTACCAAACTCATCACATATACTCTCATTTTCTATGAGAGTAGGGTGGTCAAAGGTGTCCCGACAGTACAGGATCTGGGGGTTCTTGCTGACCACTGCGATGCCTCCCAGGGCTAACGCGAACTGGTCCGTTAGAATAGAAGACGGCTTATCTTGGATGCGTTTCAGCATCGAGCGGTAGCGGCAGTACTGGGGGTAGCTGAGCACGATCACGTTCGTTTCTTCCTCGTCCTCTCCTAGACGACAAACAAGAAAAACACTTCCATTACCCTCTTCCCTCCAACTGTCATGGCCATGGCATAATTTCAACAGTCTCTTCTGGGTTTTGTAGTAAAAATAGAGTCTTCAACAAGACTCTTATACCAGTTCATCTTCATTACAGACTGGTGAATGCATCCTCCCAGCCCCACCTCCTCAGTCCAGAGCCCCCCAAAAGCCTCAGGCTACCTGGAGAGAAAAGAAAAGGTGGAGAAAATAAACAGAGGAATGGCCATATAGATGGATTAAGCAATTTTGGGCTCACCACAAGCAGCGGAACCAAAGAAAACTGTTTTGAAAGAATTGAATATATATTTTAAGCATTAAAGTCATCCTTATAGGAAAAATCAGAATTTTGTTGAGCTTCTTTATGCTTATTTCCACAGCCTGGTATGGCTCTTTTTATTTTTATTATATCATCTTTCAGTGCTTGGAAGCTCGGAAAAGTCATCTGGCCCCCAGAAGATGTCCAAAGAGCCCTGACCGGTTTGGCTCAGTGGATTAGAGCGTCGATCTGCAGACTGAAGGGTCCCAGGTTTGATTCCAGTCAACGGCATGTACCTTGGTTGCTGGCACATCCCCAGTAGGGGTTGTGCAGAGGCAGCTGATCGATGTTTCTCTCTCATCGATGTTTCTAACTCTCTATCTCTCTCCTTTCCTCTCTGTAAAAAATCAATAAAATATATTAAAAAAAAAAAGATGTCCAAAGAGCATCATTGTCTGCTTTGGTGGTTAGCGCTATTCAACAAATATTTCTGGTCCTCCCTCCCTCTCTCTCTCTTTTTTCAAAATTTATCTTTATTGTTGAAAGTATTACAGATATCCCTCTTCCCCCGCCCCCATTGATCCCTTCTAAAACCACCCCTGCCCCACCCCCAGGCCTTCACCACACTATTGTTTGTCTGTGTCCATGGTTCATGCATATATGCACACAAGTTCTTTGGTTAGTCTTCATTGGAGTCAAGTGGTTACATGACTTGTTTTGGCCAATGAAATATGACAGAGGTGAGTGGCTTCTTTAAGAGCCAGTGTTTGACCACACTCCTCCTCTTCTCTGAACATCTGTAATGTTTCAGATAGTGGCAACTCTGCCAGTCTGGATCTTACTAGTAGAGTGAGAATACCATGGAGCAGAGTCCCTGCTTGATCCTAAATGGATCTATAAGCAGAAAGAAGCTTTCTATATTATATTTTGAGTGAGACTGTGCCTCGGGGTTTATCGGTTTTTGCAGCATGGTCTATCCCAACTTGATTGATACATCTACCTTCTCTGCCCTCCCCTCATCCCAGACCCCCTATCTTCTAATGTTCCTCAAACCCATCTGGTAACTTGGCACATCTCAGGGAACCACACTGAGAGGACTCCCCAAAGCAACCTTGTGAAAGAACCAAGTTAACTCAGGAGAAAGTCTCAGCGATGTTAAAGAAGCCCCCTCTCGCCCCGATCTTAATGCCTACTTACACCGCACTGTACCAAGTGCTTATTTCTAAAAACCAGATTCTGCATGGACGAATCCTTCCTTCATCTTAGGCTCGAGAAATGGCAAACACCCTCCCCCCCCCCTTTGGTAGCCTGCCACCTGCACAATGGCACGCTGAATTTAGGCTCCATGACCCACTTTGCCATCTCTCTCTCTAACCACACCATCAGGGCGTTTGTGAGCAATTCCCAGACATGTCACTTGCTTATCCAAAGGGGAAAATACTCAATATTTCGAGCCCTTCCCATGCTGCAGGGAATTGCACAAGACAGTTGTTAAGGATCCCAACATTATCGTGGCCATCTGGTAACCAGTGGGAGACGAATGAGTGAGGACAGAACATAATGATGGAACATAACCAGCACCAATGGAAGGTGCATGTGTGACCTTTTCAGATGGGGGGCCAATACCCAGATGTATTTCTAATTATGTTCACTTAGTTCCTCGGGCTGGAGGCTTCTTCGAGAACGGAGATGTTTAGCTGTTTTCAAGATGACATCTATTAACAGTTTACATTTCTTAGACTCCTGCCTGGTTTGTGGGTAGCCACTTTGTCAGCTGGCACACTTAAAAGGAAGCATGTTTACATCGAAGGTATGTCCTCCAGTGAAAAGAAGTTTGAGATGTTGATATATGTCCCAAGACATGCCAATTTGAGATTTTTACAGCAGACCAAGACATCTCTGCTTTCTATAGAGTTAAACCACAAAAAAATATTTAGTGGAAATATTCAGCAAATATTATCAGAATTCCAGAGTATCTAAGTACTATTTGTAGAAACAGACTCCAATGTGTTAATTTGTATTATTACACTCTATTTGTCCAAGATGATCAAGATCTGCCCAAGATTGTGCAAGGTGAGAGAGAGGGGTATAATTATGAAGCCCCAGGAATTATTTCAGCATGCTCAGCTCCTAGTACCATCTCCTGTACATAGGAAACACTGCGCAAATACTTGTTGATTCTAAAATTCTATCTCGGTTGTGCTTTGGCTTTCTGCGATGGTGGGAAAGCTGCACTAGTTTCTCTAAGTGTTCTTGAAATGAAATAGAGAAAGTTGAGCCTTTCAGATTGAGTGAGGGAGAAAGACTGGATACGTCAGAGTTAGTGTTATAGCAGATGTTGTCACCTGGACTCTTGGGACCACTTCACCCTCTTCCAATCCCTTCATTCTCCTTTTGGTTTGTTCTGACCATTTTTCATGAGGATGCTATCTCTAACACCTTTCCAATACTCTGGATGGAATTAGCTTCCTAACTATCTCCTGTACTTTGAAATGGCTCCTTTTTTTCCTTTCTCCCTTCTTCCCCTTCCCCTTCCCTTCCCCTTTCCCTCCCTTTCCCCTCTCCTCTCTTCTCCCCTCCCCTCCCCTCTCCTCTCCTTTCTCCTTTCCACCTCATCCTGGTTTGAAACCTTTATCCCTCTTTCTTCACACGTTTCCTAAACACAGCAACCATGCTAGCTTTTTGCATAGACTTATAGTAATTTATTTAGTTTGCATTTTGACCTCTCTCTCTCTCTCTCTCTCTCTCTCTCTCTCTCTCAATTATATATAAGTTATCTAAATTCTGTTTTCAGGTATATGCTCTTATCCAAACCACCATTGTACCTGGAACAGAATACAGGACCAAATTCCCTTCTCTTTGCCACTTTCCCAAGATTGTTGCAGGTATCACAGAAGACAGCAAATGAAAAAAAGCTCTCAACCAAAAATATGAAGGGCTGAAGGACAGTTTTCCTGTTTATGAAGCAGAACAAATACTATTGTGATTTCTGGTACTACTAATAAATCAACTACAATGTACAAATGTGTTTCTCGTAACCTATCTCTTTTGTTCCTCATACAACCTATTAGTAACACTACTACCTATTAATATCCCCCAATTTAGAGATGGGAAAACTGAGATTCAGACACCCACGGGACTAGTCCAGGATCTCCAAGAATTAGAAAGTGATGGAGGTGAGACTATAACCCGATCTTTTAACTCTAAGTGTGATGAGCACTAATAATAATAATAATAATAATAATAATAAAGGTTTAACTTATTCACAATGCATCTGGGCTCCTGATCAAGTAAAATATGAGCCTTCTGTTGCATGGAGAACTGTAGAATTCAGCCGGTTATGAGCCAGAATTCTCCTACTCTGTTTAAGTTAGCTTGTTATTATTTTGGAACACTGCAATTCCCATTGTAACGATTTAACATTACTGACACACCTTTCATGCATATCAACTTTCCATTTTCTACCCACGTGACAAGAAAGAAAGCCAACTCCCATTGTGCAAACCTAGAACCCCTGCTTCTCATTAACCTCTTTCCACACTAAGAGGCCAGAGGCACAGTTGGGACCTGGTCTACAGTGGCAGCGCTGAGTGATGCCAAAACATAAATTATGATAATGTTGTTGCTTATGAACAGAACCACCCATTTAGGCCAGGATTTTGGCATTGTTTGGACAGAGGCAAATTTCCAACCTTACAATTAGATTTCCCCAGAGGCGTTGCCTTCAGTATTTACAAAAACCACAGAAAGCCCAGGAGACCCTCAGGACTCCTGTGAAGGTGAACAAATCATTCTTGGGGAGAGTGAAGAGAAGTTCCAGGGTAAAGGTGAGACCTGGAGGAACCAACCATCTCTCTAGGTCAAAGTTTTACTGAGTGAAGACACCCTGAGTCTCTCCCTTGGAGTCTAAGCAGACATATTTATTTAACGGGAGGAACAGTTTTTCCCTCCTCAAGACACAGTGAGGTCACCTTAATATGAAAGGTATATATACCAGAGTATAAAATCATGAGTTTGGGAGAGCTTCCTTGATCTAAAACTCTATGATCCTATAACTCCCTCCTAAGCCTTTGCATTAAATTAACTTCCTCCTGATACAGCTACAAAAATACTGAATTGTCCAATAGCTGTCATATTTTATTTTGCCCGAGTACACTAAGAAACAAAGCCAAACAAATCTTTCAAGAATTCTTATTGAAATGCCTCAGCTACTTCTTTCCTGCTTATGCATTTCAGATACATATAAACAAACTCTCCTGTGTAAAGTTTCCCATGAAACAGAGCGGCCTGCAAATGCTGTGTAGGACATTTTCCCTTTTCCAATTCATCACGGGGCTAGCAGATAAAGTTAAGAGTGAATAAAGAATGGATAAACTGCACGTTTGGTTAGCAAAACACAAACAAAGTGTTCTCGGAACAAAGATTTTCTTTCAACCACGCCCACATAGGAAAGAAATCAAAGTATTACCCTAAGGAATCTTCTCTAACACACTCTAGTCAGTGGTTGCTGGTTGGGTTATGTATACATTACTTGATTTCTGTCAACAGAAAATGATCAGCAATAAATTGCTGGTACCAAAGACTGAAATTTAAAACCACAATTATGATATCCTATTAAAATGTCATCTCATTCTCCCCCTCCATGAGAAAAAAAAAAGTGAATATGCCTATTTTTAAATGAAATATTCAAAGGGAATAAGAGAACCAAAATTA